TTGAAATATTTCTTAGGACTCCAGCTCTTTATTTTCTGAAATCCCAGTTGAATTGATCAGTGAGAACGGGAGACTACAGAGTTTATGAAGCTGCCAAAAAACATTAAATAATAGTCTGCAAATAACAACAGCAATGGTAACACCAAAAGGGCCTTTCTAGATTTACTCATTAGCGCCTTATAAGCTCATAAAAATAAATAATATATGGGACTGACTGAAATAGCACAGAGAAGTACATGCTTATTTGAGTTAATATCTCACTACATTTTCAACATAATCACAAGGGCAGAATTTCATTAAGCAGACAGTCATATTTACCTTTGTAAAATGATTCCTGGCAAAGAGCTCACATCCTTTAACTGGAAATGCAAATATTTTTTTGATATTTTTCTTTTGATTAAACTAATATGAAACTGTAATGTCAAATATGATTTTAGATCAAATTATAACATTAGGCTTCAAATCCTTGTCAAGTTGGTTAGATAAAATGTTTAAATCTACCAAAAAAATCTTCTAAAGTAAATTATGAAAGGGTATGAAATGGAAAAGTACAAAAAATTAAAAACTGATTCAATATCTATATATTTTTGTAGATTATGTAGGATTAATTAGAAGGGATACCTTTCTGTTGGGTTCTCTACAGAGTGAATGGCATCATAAAAGAGTTTACGTTTGTAATCATATGAATCTGAGGTCAAATCTTAAACACTCAACACTGCAGCAGCCTCTACGGGTTTACACAAGTTACTTCACCAATCCGAGTATCAGTTTCCTCATCTATAAAATGCATTTTACATGCAGTGGTCACTTTCCTTGAGTCTACTCATGAGGTAGCATAGGACTATTTAAACAGAAGTAAGAATATTTTCGGAGAATCCTCCAATTAATTTTAATACCGTAAAATAAAGTTTTCCAGCCTGTTACATATGCCAGGGAAGAAACAGGTCATGCCACATTATACTATCCTGCTTCATTTAATATCTTATAAAATCATGTTACATTGACAACAAAATCACAGACTTGGCTAAATATTAGTAGGACATTGATCTATCACTTTCTCCTAAAGAGTTTTATTTATTTCTTTCAATAAGTTTATTGATGTGATTTCTATTTCACCACTGGTAAAATGAAGTTGCTTATACATTTTAACTGCATAGGTATTTATAAAGTTAGGCAGAAAGAAGCAATTTTTTCAGAAGGCCTATTACACATAAAATTCATTTAGCTGGGGAGTATATTACAGGGTCTTAATCTATGATAAAACAAGATGGGCTGCTTGCTCCCTCCCTTTATGTAAAGTGTACTGGCTGCTGTGCTGTGTGGTTCATAACACATAATTGGTTCTTATTTGGTGAACATATGTTTGGGATCACATTATCTCTTACTGCCAGTTATGATGGGCAAAATTTAGCTCACATATTCTACCACAGTCTTCCATAAATTCAGGGATCATTATACTTAAATTTCACCTCCTAGGCTTGTCAAATTGTGCTTAGTTATCTTTAGCCAAATCTTCTTATGGTAGACATTTTTTCAGTTTTACTTAGAAAAGCCAACTCAACCAAACAAAGGGTTATGATGAGAAATGTCCTTGGCATGAATAACAATGTGAGGTAAGAATTAAATGGGAGAGGAAAATCCTCCCCATTGCAGTTCTGAGCATGTGTGATAATAAGAGTTGTGATTTAGTCCATGAAAATGTGTAAGATACAGTAAGTGAACTGACCATTAGCTTTTTGTATTGCTGAGACTAAATGAGAATATCAATAATCATTAATTTCTTTTGTCAGTTCATGAAATGTTATAATTCATGTCTTTCGGATTTATGTATAAGTTTATTTAGTTCTATAAAAATGTGTGTCATTTTTAAAATCTCAAGGTATTCTTCTATGGCAAAACAGAAAATCACTTAAATAGACATTTTTTTCCCTCCAGAGAAAAGGTTTCCAGTAATAGTAAAGTACTGTAAACATGTCCTAAAAAAAAAAAAATCTAGCTTCCTGTTAGTTCCATTGGATCGTTTTCCTCATGGTTTCATTACAGTTGGGTTACATCCATTCAGACATTGAGGGATTCTAGAGCTGAATGATAATCTTCTAGTTGCTTAGCACCAACCTATGTACTTCAAGTGAAGACCAATAATTTTAAGCAGTCAACCAATAAAGCCTTAATTTCAAGTACTATATGTGCACCTATTTACAATTGTGTATGTAATACTGCATCCTGGGATAGAGGTGAACATCATACAAGAAATTAGTTTCTAATTATTTTTTGATCTAATTATACCAAAGTAAGTAAAAAGCACTATGCCCACATTACTACAGGAATAACTTAGATTCAGTCATTGAGAGTGTACTGAGAATAAGATAGTGGCATTTGTTACTAAAGGATAAATATTTCAAAACTCTACTAGAAAATAAAACATCTATTTTTAAAGATTTAATAAGTACTTTTTCTAGGGCCAGATAAGAAAATAAATGACCATTGGCACTTATTAAAATATTTGATATAAAACATCTTCAAGCACAATGTAAATGACCATTAACACTTACATAAATTGTTTCAAACTAAAAACACTTTCCAAAGATGCAGGGCTGTAATTGCAGAACTCTGGGAGGCAGAATCAGGAGGACCACAAGTTCTTGCCCAGCCTGGGCAATGAAATGAGACTCAGTCTAAAAATAAAAACTAAAAATAAGGAACAAGGACATAGCTTAGTGCCAGTCTATAGTACCTTAAAACAACAAAAAAACACTTTTCAGCACATAATCTTGTTTGATATTTGTAGCAATTCTTTAATAAATTGATTTTCTTTTTTAACAGAAATAATTTACCTAAGAGCTATAAGCATCTTCAAAAAGAATCATCTTTCTTAGATAAGTCTTTTAGATTTTTAGAGCTGCCCAAACAAAATGTCACAGACTGGGTGGCTTAAGGAGAAATTTGTTTTCACTCTTTTGAATGCTAGAAATCTAAGATCAAAGTTGTGTATGGCCAGAGTAGGTTTCTTCTGTGTCTTCTGTATTTGGCTTACTGTATCCTCACATGATGGCTCCTCCACATGCACATTACTGGTTATACTTTGTGTCCTGATTTTCTCTTCTTACAATGATACCGGTCAAACTGGAGTCAAGCCATGTGTATTGGCCTCATTTTAACTTAGGACTTTCAAAGAGAGAGTTCCTTCCAAATACCGATCATCTTCTGAAGTAGTCAGGGGATATGGTGTTTCAACATAAATTTTGGGGAATATAGTTTCGCACATAGCATTTGTATTATATTTATATTTGGGATATGTTAGAATTTAATGGATATTTATTGCATATATTCATGATTCTTGAGTGGAGGCTGTCATCAACCTGGCATCCAAAATTTGGCTGAGGCATAAGGTAAATTTAAAGAATTGTCAAGATTATATCCATTCTTTGATCAAAAAGGACATTTTTGTTACCTTCTTAAAATAGCTTTCTTTAAGTACGTAGACCATGTAGCTGAAAGTACACTGAATTATAAATGTTTTAGAATTCATTCCTATAGTAAAAAAAAAAACTATAATATGAAATAGGCCACAAATCATATTTCTGAATTTTCAGAAATTTAATAATAATTGTTTGAAATACAGAGTTTTAGAGTCTTTATTTGTATTTATATTATACAATATCCTGCTGAAATAAATAAGGAACATCTTTCATCTATTGTATTACAAACCTAAAGTGATGAAAGATGTTCCTTATTTTAATACAGTAAGAAAATGTGTATTGCCTACTGTTTACTCAAGCATGGAATTTCTTTGTGAAGTAAGGGTGGATTAAGCTATGTTAACAAAAATCACGTGGATCACCAAACCACGTAAGAATAGGTAGATTTTTTTCATGACACTAATTATATTGGCTTCGTTTGAATCATATATCAGTGTATTTCAGGAGAATTAATCAAAAATGTAGCATCAAGAAAAGTAGAAATTATAAGGAATCTTTTCTTAGGAACTTGGCACATTTCTTTTACATATGAGTTACACTTTTTTATTTCTGATTCTACATACAATAAAACATCATATTTCAGATACTCCTAGCTATAAAATCTAATAACTATGAACAGCTTATATTTATGTGAAAAAATAACAAAAGTTGAAATTTTATTGGCTAAGGTATATGATAATGGAGTTGAAGTAAACATTTTTTTCTTATAAAACATTCCTTTTGTATTACCATCACCCAAATTTATATTGTCCATTCAATAATCATTTGTACTTGACTCATGGTATATATTAAAATGATATATGTTCTTAGGCAAGGGCACATGATAAATATATAGTCATTATTACTCAGGAGATGTAATTATTTCACTATTGTAGTCCAGAGACAGAATTTTGATGTTTTTGTAATAACAGTATAGATAACTTTGTCATAATAATCCAAATAATTGAAAAATGTACGAGTGAAATTAACACAACTAAAAGTTATTTTCTAAAACCTTAACATTAGCAATTCAAGTGATACAGACTTGATTAACATAATGATTTTAGGTTTTCTATTTTATAGACATTGGTTCTTTAGGAGTTAGTTTTCAGATATGCCAAAGATACACATTTTTAAAATTCTCATTGAGAAATCTAAGGGTTTTATGTATTGTCAAATGGTATTTGCACACCTGTATGGGGTATAGCATAACATTTTGGTGTATTTGTACATTGTAAATAAATGTCCAATTCTATGCTATGTCTTTGCTATTTGACACTTGTTGAAGAGATATTCAAATAGCAGCTGCTTCAGATTACATGTAAACATCTGCTTTTTAATAAAATGAAAAACCATTAATATAAGGTGAAGAAAGCTGACAGATACATTGCTTGCCTCCACTTATAAGTGGAGACAGGAAAATTGTTCTTTTCATTTACTTATATACAAAGGAAATTCATAGGCACTTTGTCAAATCATTTTTGCCATTTTAAATAAATCTCAATTTATTTTTTTAAACATCTTTGGTTCTTTCTTCCCTAGGTGCTGGGAGATAGATGGGCAAACATCTGTAAGTGGACAGAAGAGCGCTGGGTTCTTTTGCAAGATATTCTTCTGAAATGGCAGCGTTTTACTGAAGAACAGGTAAGTCGCGGAGGAGGGGGAAATTGTGGCAGCAAAATACATGGAGGGGCATTAAATTGGAAAGCAAATTAAAAATATCTATTTTAAATATTTTTCTTCCTTTGGAATTCTTTGATTTCTTGCAGTGCCTTTTTAGTACATGGCTTTCAGAAAAAGAAGATGCAGTGAACAAGATTCACACAACTGGCTTTAAAGACCAAAATGAAATGTTATCAAGTCTTCAAAAAATGGCTGTATGTATATCTTAGCATTCAAATGTCTTTTAAAACTATTGCACTTACTTAGTGTCTTCTAGTCTGTTAAATCTTGAAGCAAATGCTCTTTGTTTTTGCAGAGGATAAATTATTCTGATGATGTATTGTTACATTCTAAAATTAAAATGGAAAATGCTACAGGGTTATTTTCAAATTTTTCTCCAATGAAAATGAACTCTTAAAATATTTGGTTGAAATTTTAACATATGGAATTATTCATGAGTCTTCCATGAAGTTCTAAATATCATACTTCTGAAATAATGAAGTTTGATACTTAGAACATATAAATATATGAAACATACAAGGTATATATGGTTTATATAAATGGTTTAACCTTAGTTAAACCCATCACATATAAATAGTTTAACCTTAGTTTGGAAAACAAGAAAAACCAAAGGGCATTGATTATAGGGTACCTCATGTCTTTTGTGAAATGGGATTCCTTTGGTAGCGAAAGAACTCCAGAGAAAGCTTCATTGAGACATACGAAATTAGAAAAAGAAAAACATGAAAGCTTCCCTTGTTCAGGGAATTTTATTTTCTTCCAATGATAGAGAGGCCAAAATAATGCTAAGAGCTTACTCTTTTAAATGGGATATTCCGAAATTAGGATATCCTTAAAATTTTAATCCACCTATTCTAAAAGAATTTATTTGCTTCATATTTTACTTTTTTATTTTTGCTCCATAGTTGCACTTATTAAACTTTTATTATAAAATATATTTACTTATGTTTTACTTATTATTATAACCTAGTTTTTATTAATAAGGCAACACTAGGCAAAGTATACTTTTTTGAGTTAATGTGACTATGAAAAATTCATAAAAGTCGTCTATATTTGACTAGAAACAGTATACAAATATAAAATATACTCATATTTTTTGTTCTGTGGCTGATAGGGAGCCATTAAGAGTTTTAAACATTCATATTTAGATTTTTACTGTTTTAATGATAAGATTTTGGTAGTTCAGATATAAGATATGAATAAGTAGCATAGTATTTTAAGATGAGAAGAGAGAAAAGAAGAATGTTGAGATGGAATGAATAGAATTTATTGTAAGAAATATAATTTCGGAATGGCACTCATACTTCTCAAATGGATTACTAGATCCCAAAGAGGGTTAGTAAAAGGAAAATAGAGAAGATACTTCAGAAGTGAAGAAAATGATAACTTGTGAACTTGGATTTGTTGAGTCTAAAATGTTTGTTAAACATCTAGGACAAAACACCCATTCTATTTTTTTTTTAAACTGGTTATACATCTTAGACTCTCTTACATGGATTTGCACTTAGTTATCCATACAGACGTAATAAAAAGTATAGAGTGATGTGACAAATGAATTAGGACAGAAACTAGAGGAATATATACAATCAAGTGATATGGTCAGGGGAAAAGCTTACAGAAAGTGATTGAAGAAACATGATTCAAAATACAAGAAGGCAAAAAAAGAATACAAAAAGACAGGGAGATATTACAAACATAAGAAAAAGAAGTATTTTTAAAGGGCATAATGTGGTCCACTTTGTCATATGCTACAGGAGATGAAAAATTCAGAAAAGAGTCTATTTAGAAGAAAGGCTATTTGCATTGCATAACAATAGTTAAGGTAGGAAATTCATGACAAACACTGTTTTAAGCAAAACATGTACTTTTGGTCATTATGTTACTTATCACTGATTATCAATACCTAGTATTACTTCCATATTAAAAACTAAGCTATATTGCTGTCAAATGCAGAAGTATATAATTCCAGAGTTATCCACAGTGAGAATAGAATAGCCTCATTAGAATGAATGTTATTTAAATCTATGCAGTTTGACTCTCCATTCTCCTTCATGTCCTTAGCATTGAGAATGGTATCTCACATGAATTAAACATTCAGTGGATAGTTACTGGGTAGGACTCATCAAGATTACCTCATCTTTACAAGAAATAGAGACCAGTCAATATACAATGGGTAGAATGTTGAAAAAGCAAAAATTTTTTTTTGCATATATTGTACTATTTAGCTATATCCAAGGCTTGGAAAGGCAAGATGTAGTTTTTCTTTCAGTTACTATTACTATAGAGCAAATAAATTTGTGTTTTAGATTAAAATGAACTTTGTATTATATTCCTGAAGTTCAGGGGTCAATAATTCATAGTTTTTATAAAAGGGCTGGCTCATTTTTGCTTCACAGTATCTTGAGTCTCACCTGGAATTGCTACAGAGCTCAAATATACAATCATTTGAAGTTGTTCATTCACTCATACAATCTACCCTGGGTTCCAGTCTTGATATCAGGGGCTACCGATGTAAGTGATTTCCTTTGGCCTCTTCATCACATAATGGTGTCCTCAGATTCGTCAGAATTTGCACAAGGCCAAAAGCTGTAGTATGAGCGTTTCTATAATCAAGACCATCTCAAACTTCATAGAACATCACTGATGCCACACACTATTGTTTTACCCAGATTCAAGGGAAAGAAAATAGTTTTAATGTTTTCATGGAGGAACCTCAAGGTCAACTGATAGTAGCCCATGAGGGACAGATTTGTTTCACAACCGTATTTGGAAAATATCATATGCCAGAGTATTATACAGTTATTTATATGATAATTTTCTAGTCTCCATATTTAGTGCAAGTTCCTACATATATCCTTGATTGGATTTATCAAATAAATAAAATGTTTGTTTTAGGAAGAGAATTCCAACTATAGTAAAGCAAGAGGAGACCTTATAAATTATTTAATGTGTCCCCATCCAACTACCTGTGTAAAAATCCTTGAGATCAGCTACTATAATTATTTTGGAAGGGAATATCAATGTACAGAAAAAATACTTGGTATATGTTATGTATTACATGATACTAGTATGAATTAAAATGAGCACTAAGGCATGCAATTTAGGTCCCTTTTGTCAAGCTATTTGATAATTCCTTGTATCATTTGCTTTCTTGGAAATATTGAGAATTGTAGTTTCTAACAACCATGTGTCACTATGACTGTTTCTGTGAATAAAAGACTTTGCAGGCCTTAGGACTATGTAAATTCTCTCTTAGCAAGGTCTCAATAATTTTTCAATATGATTAAAATTCATATTATATCACCTTAGTTGTGAACAAAGTGAAAATATGTTTTGTCTAAGTCTTACCATTTGATAGTTTAAGCCAATTAACAAAACCTGACAGCTGGTCTAGAATTTGAGGTAAAATTCCCCTGCTGACTCAGGCAGTGAATAAGAATTTAATGTTCATTAAAATATGTCACAATTTGAGACCCAAAACAGGTACCATCTGTCACCAGTTCCTACTGCATACATAGGATAGATAGAGGGTGATAACACTCTCTTTTATTTACTATCAGTATAATTTGTTTTGAAATATTATCACTAATAACCCATGGGATTGTCTCCTATTTCCCCTGGAGGTATAAAGTGGAGAGATTTATATTTCATTTCCTCTACTGTGGAATTCTCACCTAAAGCATGTGAGCCTATCTTTTTTGAATAAAAGAAAACCTGATGTTTTAATTTTGTATAAAGGATAAAAATTAAAGCAGGGAAGAAACTGTAGTCCTTAAGATGTGAATTGTAAGACTGATAGATTTTCATACATAAGTTCTCATGCAAATGATCCAATCCAGTGGAAACTGTTCCTGGGGAATGCTGATATGTTAGAAAACCTGGGAAGCACAGTGACTCACCGGAGTATGTTGTAGAGCACAGTGACTCACCGGAGTATGTTGTAGAAGGACTCTGGGAATACTGTGCTCTAAAGTGGCTGTGAAATCAAATGACGTGTAGAGTAGGTACAGGAGCTCAGCAAGTTCTTGTTGGTAGTGTTGTTTCACCGTGACTGTCTATTTGGACAAGAATTCTTACAATGGCCCTCCATTAATTCATCCACAATGTATGGTCCTCAGAGCAGCGGCAGCAGCAGCAGCATCACCTGGAAGCATAGAAACATAGATCCCTATCCAGGCTAACTGACTCTGAAACTAGGCCACAGCTATCCGCATTTTAGCGAGGTGTCCGGTGATTCTAAGTCTTTCTCAAGTTGTGAACCCTGAAAGGTATCCGTCTAATTAAATACTACAGTTACTTATTAGAATGAAATGGGGTACTTCTTATATTTAGACTGATAACTTAGCAGTCTGGTGTAAAATAAATTACATTCAAATTATTCTCTGTAACATAGGGTGGATATTTGCTGGGCCACTTTGTTTTATCTTCTAATCAAGATAACGTAGGACCTGCCCACTGTTATTTTATTGAGCAAGATGTCTATCTTTCCCACACCTAATACTGATGAAATTTAATTACTGACTGTGGCATTTTGCCTAACTTGGAAATATTTTTGAGGGTCTGACTGTTAAGAAAATAAAATACATATCCTTTTTTTAATATCCTAGCTGATTTACCTTATATAATTTTTCAAGAATTTCCTTTTGCCTCCTGAAATTTTTAGCACTTTGTGTGTCTCTGTCACTCATACACCTATGGTCTATTCATAATGTTCAGAATGAAATTTTTATACTCTAACAGTTAAAAACAAATCAAAGTTGTTTAATATGCACATGTAGGAATCAAGTGTAAAAGAATTGACATTCAAGGATAGATGAGAAAAGGTAATTATATGATTCAACATCTATGGCAATGCTGCACATTTTCCTTCTTCCTTTATTTCCTGGTTATTGTTAGAATCGCTTCAGGATTTGAGACATTAAGAAGAGAGGTCACGAGTGGAAGGGGAGAGAAAGAGAATATAGAAATCAAGATAAAATAATTTGCTATCACCATTTTTTGATTTAAGAGAAAAAAGTCACAGAAAAGAAAAACACAAAGCAAGAGACAAACAACAAATCCAAAACAATAACAGTATATGTTTTCAAAACAAGATGATAGGAATTTAACAATGGTTGTAATATTTCATATTGTTGCATTCAAAAGGATTGCTAAGATTATGACCTATAGACATGTAAAACTGATGTAATCATGTGAATATTAACTGTTCCTTTCCAATAACTAATACAATTAGTAGTATAGTCATCTTAGCAATCTTTTCTATATATATTTCACTTCTTCTTTTCTCCTTTCCCCATCCCAGTTAACTTTTCCTGTTTGAGTAGTTTCTTACCATTACACAATATTTATTGCAGATGTTGAACTGTATTTGCTCTTTCAGTGTCTTACACTAGGTAGGTAATACTGTATTTACACATGTGAGTTTAATTTATTTCACTTAAGAGTATAGTAGCAAGTTGTGTTCATTTACTTATAAAAGCCTCAATGAAATCCTTCTTAATAGCTGATTAATACCCCATTGTATAAAGATACCACATCTTTTTTTATCCATTCCTTGATTGAAAGACAGTTGGGTTGTTCCAGTATTAGGCAATTACAAACTGTGCTGCTATAAGCATGGGTGTACATGTATCACTGTGATGTCTTCTATCACCATTGTTAAGAACATAAGAGGTTGTACTTTGGTTTCGTTATCTTTAATGTATGTCTTCATTTATATAACGTTTCTTTTCAAAAATAACTTTCAGTGACTTACAACAAAATGACTGTATACCAAAAATTAATGGAGACACAAAAGGAAAATAAGGTTCCATAAATCAGTTGGAGGAATACATGTTGAAACTCGAATTTGGCTCTCAGTTCTAGGGAGGTAGCATAAACTCTTGTTTTATTATTAGTGCAAATATGTATTTAAATTTTATAGAAAAACTAGCATGTGAATTAAACAAAATGAATAAACAAAATATCTATGCTGTATTACCCGCACTGAGTTTTATTTTGATATGAATTCAATTTGTAATATCTTAATTTATATTTTAGTATATCACAGTGTTTAAACTGAGACAAATAGAAATTTTAAAATGTTAAAAATCAAAACTTTATTTCTCCTTCTTAAAAAGAGCATCACAACTGCAAAATAAAATGCAGATGAAGCAGGGTCTAAGTAAAGGAGAAATTATTTGAAAAAAAAACACCAGTGCATTCTACCATTCATAGCTATCAATGCACATGGCATCCCAAAAGCAGCTACATAAAGTCTTCTTTTCAGGGAAATATTGACTGTTCTGTGTCAATGATACTTGGTCCATAAGCAATTGCTGTGTCTGTTTCATGACAGTTTCTTTGCCATATGTAGTGTAGTTGTTTTTAAATAAACTTGCATTTGTTTTAGAAAGACAGTCATCCTAGTTTACTTTATGTTCACTGTACTTGCTACTACCAGAAGAATGGGGTTGTAAAAGAACTATGAAATGATTTCATCCTTTCTTTTCCTTCACCTGTGTTTACAAGTTAAGTCACAAACTAGCATTTGATACCTGGTAATTAGATTTACCTATGGGTAGAGTGACTTCAGTGTGTAAAGTAAAAGTACAAATTGTCATGATCTACTGACTTCATGTAAATCAATTTGTTTATTCATTTCAAATAAATCAAAATTCTAGTGTAACCCTTCATGATTTGGAAGAACTTTGGACATATGCATGCTATAAAAATCACTCCATGAAACTTATGATTTAGAAAATAAGCCAAGAGATTCTGAAGGGTTTGAGTTACACTCAGTGGCTTAGTTATTTTACTTAATGGTCTTTAAAATGAATTTGAATTTTGGAAAATAATTATTCACCTCGTCAAATGTTAATTGACTAATAGATACTACAAAAAAGTCAAGATCAGTAAACTACATAACAATTTTTTAAATTTATAAATAATGAATGAATGTGCAATTTGTGGAAGTAAATAATATCTCCAGTTGATACAAATAATCACAACATTTTATTGATACAAATAATCACAACATTTTAGAATGGCAAAACCCCTAAGCCATTCTTGTCTTCTCAACTCACCAGAAACCCTGGAATATGATAGTCCATTTCCATGTGAATTCTACCAGGACTTAAAAGGAAATTCACTACCATCCTAGAGTAATCATTCGACATTCAATTTTTTAATACATGTTTGAGATAAATAATAAACACATTTATCATGGGGAATTGGTACACATATGTATCAAATATTAATCCTTTTTACTTTTCCTTCCTGTCCTCCTCCTCTAATTTCCCTTTGTCCCTACACCCCTTTCAGTCTCCCCAAAGTATCTCTCCATTTCCTATACTCTATCTTTTATCGTGTTCTTTTTTTTACACTTTGAGTTTTTCGTGTAAGAGAAGCTGTGAGATATTTCATCTTCTGTGCTTGACTTAATTCACTTAGAATTATTATCTCAAAGTACATCCATTTGTACACAATATTTATTGCAGAGGTTGAATTGTATTTGCTCTTTCAATGTCTTACACTAGGGAAGTAATACGATATTTACACATGTGAGTTTAATTATTTGTTTCCACATGGTAATTTGTTTCCACATGGTAATTTCTCTTTTGTGTTTTGGAGTGACAGCACTTTTTCCCTTGACAGTCCTTCAGATATTTTAAGGTACTTTTTAAGTGCTTCTACTGGATCTCTATATTATATTTCCATCTGTTATTTTCTCTTCACTTTCTTAGGAAGATTACTTAATTTGTACTTTTTCACCTATATATTTATGACCATTGCATTCTATGCAGCTTGATTGCAATATTTTCTTATCTAAACAGATAAACAAATATTGTATGTACAAAGGTAGATTGAACTACAATGTATGAATGAAATGTAACCTTGAACATGAATTTATTCTGACCTTGTTTAAACAGATTTTAAAAGCAGATCTAGAAAAGAAAAAACAAACAATGGACAAACTCAGTTCACTCAGTCAAGATCTTCTTTCAACGCTGAAAAATAAGTCAGTGACACAAAAGATTGAAGCATGGATGGAAAACTTTGCACAGCGTTGGGATAATTTATTCCAAAAACTTGAAAAGAGCTCATCACAAGTAAGTGAGACCAGTTATCATACTTTTAAAAATACCATGACCTATAAAATATGTCATTCTATAAGTTCCTACCCAATATTCAATTGAATTAAAAACCTGGCTCCCTTGCCACTCTTGATATTGAAAAGTCAGAGGAAGGTAGAGGAATGAGTGCTATTTCAATGAAGCAATCTCTGTCATAGGATGTAAACCCTCCCAGATCCATATTAATAGGGTACTGAATGACAGAGCAGGTGGACAAAATGCTAGAAAACAGTATCATCCTGATCTAACTCTGCATTATAGATTCCCAGGAGCATAACGGCCACCAGGTAACCTCATATTATATTTCAAAAAAAAATGAAAATGAATTTCAGGTAAGAAAAGTAGATTATCCAAGTGCAAATGAGTGGCAGGATCAGAACTGGAACTTAAATCCTTTCATTTCTCTGAAGGCGTCTTTTAATTAGTGCAAATGACGATCTAGTCAATGGACTTTCTGCCACAAATTATTGAATTCATAAAATCATGACTGTGGCTCAAAGTAATACCAAAAGGGTACAGTTTAGGAAAATGCCTAAGATTTGTAGTATAATGATGTAGTTTTTCAAGTATCAGTAACTTTAAAAAAACAAAGTATCTTTAAAGTATGGGTCTTTTGTCTGAGACTGTCAGATGATGATATAATGGGTAGTCATTCAAGTTATTCACATTATACGTGGAAGTATTTAGCATATTCTGCTACATTGTTTTGGACTATAAGGGCTTTTCATAACTGATTACAATGTACAACTATTTCCATGCATATACTTCTACTAAGCAATTTAGTAGCTATTAGGCAAATATTTCCTTTATTATGAGATAGGTAGATGCAATTTGTTTTAATTTTTGTTGAGTCTTGTCATCTGCTAATTAGCACTGAAAAATGTTTATTAAATAATAAAGGAGATTTGAGGTATGGCTTCCAGAAACACATTTTAAGAAAATATAATCAGCCAACATATGTGAATTTCAGTCACAGTTCAATCTTCTTTATAAAAAACACCTACATTTATAATTTGAATAAACGTGAGTATACATTGTGGCCATTTATCATAGATATTAAGTGATAATAAAAACTTCATTTGTTTTCCATTAAATATATTTGATCAGTTAATGTATTAAGTACTGATTTTACAAACAGATCAGGATTTTTCTTGTTTTCTCTGTGATCTTTCCATGATACTTTGACCTTGAACTATTATTGTTATAAACTTTTAAGGTATTCATAGATTTGAAACTTTTTAATTCAACAATATCATTGGAGAATATACTACATTGCTTGCACACACTGCAATAGCATGGTTAGAAATCATGTAACGAACTACTGACATTATTTTATTAACTTGTTTTGAAATGCATTCCTTTTAAGTGACATATTTATGGAAGTGTATTTGTTAACTGTTGTTCATGTTATGCTTCACTTGCATTGTATGTGGTGATTCTCAGGCTTCAGTTGGCTTGATAATCACATGAACACCTGATTAAAATGCAAATTCTAGGCTCTTTGCTGTGAAAATGTCATTTTCAGCAGGTCCTTGGAAAGACCCAGGAATCTGCACCTTTACTAAGTCTTTGATACACACTGCAAAATATATTTTTACAGACACTAGTTTAAAAAAAAACAATGGAGACCAACATAGCATTCTGTTTCATCAGAATGCTATCTGAAATGGGAAAACAGATACCTTCTTAAGAAGACGGATTTTAAGTGTATATACTCATTTATTTAGGATGACACAACTTTTCAATGAAGATTGTCTCATCAAACTGTAAGGAATGACTTGATAATTATAGTTTTTGATAAAGTGTTAGAACTCTTATTTTTAGTAACCTAACATTATGAGACCACCAACTAAAAAATTTATTTGACCTCTTATTCTGTAATACAATACTAGCTTTTATAAAATGGTGCTTGTTCTACTTCCTCACTAGAATGTGATGACAATAAAATAAAGCCATAGACATAAAAACATTTCAAGGAGAAAGAATAGTGCTCTTGATGTATAAGCAATATTGCTTAGTGAGTCTGCAGGGCTAGTTGTGGTTCACCAAGATATCTTTTTATTTTTGTTTTCAAACAGTTATAAACTCCTATACCACAACAGGAATAGAAAAATGGACTGACCTTAGGCTGGTTCTTTTCTAGACCACTAAGCCTGAGCCTTTTGTAAACTCACATCTCTGTTTTACCTCATTGGCTTTCCCAAAAATGTGCTGCTGTGGGCCAGTCCAAATCTTTATTGAGCATCATTCTTCTCCTAGAAAGATAGAAATGGAGCTACCCAGGGAAAGAGGAATTAAGAGATAAAGAGAAGGAACCAAGAAACAATAGCTTAGATGTAAAAAACAATTGTTTTTTTTTTTTAATGAATGTCAAATTGAACTTGGTCAACATTATATAAACATTGCAAGAATGTTGACGATAAGGTTATGACTTTGAAAATAATCACTTGTATTTTTTCCCTCATACTTGTGGGGAAGATTCAGTCTCATTAATGCTTTATTCTCAGCTGTTTTAATCAGCCTTTTAAATGGTTATAAAGAATGAGCACAAATCCAATACTAGATACAGCTCATTATTGTAAGGCAAGATATTAGAATTGTGACTGAAGTGACAGGGCATCTCATTGTGCTCATGTAAAGTACATTGTATGCGTAGGACTTTGGCTGCCATTCAGGTCAGAGTTTAGAGTGATTTTGACCTTATAAAACAGTTACATGGCAAGAGATCAAACATGAAAAAAAATATCAACTGTGAAGTCTGCTTACTCTTGTATTTAAAAGTCAAGTTTGGTTTTAATAATATCTGGGCACAAGCTGAGGACATTAAAGTTGATGAGAAGCCAGTCTAAGAAAAAAGAAATAATTTCTGTTTCTAAATGTTGGACTTCTAATAGCTCAGGTTATGGTAATGGTTAATTTGAAAAGAGGATAAATGAAATTCCTGAATTGAATTCTGTAATAACTCAACTGATTAGCCAGGCACACTCCTGTAATCACAGCTCTCAGGAGCCTTAGGAAGGTGGTTCATTAAAAGTTCGAGGCTAGCCTGGGCTACAGTGTCAGCCCAAGGCCAGCCTGAACTACATTTAGAGACCCCATCTCTCTCTCTCTCTCTCTCTCTCTCTCTCTCTCTCTCTCTCTCTCTCTCTCTCTCTCTCTCTCATACACACACACACACACACAAAAAAAAACACCCTCAACTAATGTGTTATGTCCCCCAATTAGTTATAAATATGCTTGCTGAATTTACACAGTTTTATATTTTTTCTAAATGCCATGACCCTGATGAATATAGTCTTATCTTAATTATAATTATGAACTGTGATTACAGTTAATTCAGGAAAATATTACATAATTTAAGTGATTTAAGAATTATTTTACACATTTTACTGAACACTTATAAACTAGAAGAAGTGTGTAGTTCATATGCTTTATGATTTATTGTGGTAATTTATATTAAAATTTGGGCATCAAATATTTAGAGATAAAAATCTCTTTATCCACATAATAAAGAAAACTCCATAATTCATATAAGTTCAAAAGTCTTAACCCTATTTTGTCACTATTGCTGTATTGCTACTGAATATTTTTGCAATATTCACAAATATGGCCACACATATCTACAAATAAGACTAATATACTCAGAATTCTCCTCTTCTTGGACTTATATTTGAAATCTACACAGATCTTTTAAAAAAATCTCCTCCAATCAAACAACACATTCAAAAAGTGACAAATGAACTGAATAGAAACTCTTAAAAGAAGTGCAAATGATCAGTAAGTACATGAAAAAATGGGGTTTTTAGCCATAAGGAAAATGCTAGTCAACTCTGAGGTTCTGTTATTTTCCAGTCAGAATGGCTGTTATCAAAAACATACATAAAATTATTATAAGGGATATAAGGAAAAGGAACTCTTCTATATTGTTGGTAGGAATATAAATTAGCACAAGTCCAGTAGAAATCAGGATGAAGATACCTAAAAGTGCAAAACTAAAAATTTCATTTAACCAACATAGATATATGTCTTCTGCATATAGTCCTGAAGAAGGAAAGACAGTGTTCTATAATATATACACACCTTTGTTTAGAGAAACATGACTGCCATAGCTGAGTTCTTGTAATATTCTAGACAGCCATTAACAGACAAATTCATAAAGAAAATGTGGTTTTTATACACAATGTAATTTTAATGTGGATGAATTCCAGTCATTTGTAGGACAATTGATGGAACTGAGACCATTATGTTAAGTGCATTAAGTCAGAAAGTTAAATATTTCATGGTTTCTCTCATCTTGATAAGCCAATGATAATTGAGTTAATGCATAAAATAAATTCAGGCTTTTTGGAGTAGGTGAAAGGAAAAGGGAATAAACGTGGGAGAAGCAAAAGGGAAGCAGAATGATAAAAATGTGTTATATGGATTTATCAATCCTCCCAAATAAATACAAATGTCATGTATTTCATACATATACCAATAAAAACATATTCAGTTGCCAAAAAAACACTTCCTCTCTTCTTCAACATGACAGTTAAAAAAATACAACATTTGCAGTTCATGCTGTGTATGTCTGTGGCTTTATGGTACCCAAAGGGAGAAAATTATTATCAGATATTCATACACATGTGTATGCACACACACACACACTATATATATGTGTATATATATATATATATATATATATACATAATATATACATATATATATATGTATATATTAACATTCTGCTGATTTAATAATCTTGGCAGAAACACAAATAAGTAAAGCAGGAATGGATATGATTGAAGAGCCACTGATTTTCATTATATACCCAAAATGCTAACAGAAAGATGCAAACAATGATAAAAATGTATTCATTTGACTTTCTTTTCTGAATCGATTCTCATTAATTAAAAATCATTATTTGTAAGCTTTGTAAAATATTGTATATCCACACTTCAGTTGTACCCATTCTCAAAGCATTTGTAAAACTATCA